TGCTCTTAACTACCGAGCCATCTCTCCAATCCTTCCCTGTCATTCTTATGAATAATGAGCCTTCTGGGAAGTCAGCATCCTCAAATAAGTCTCATCTCTGTTCCTGCTCCCTAGAAACAAGATGGTCTTCAGTAGTTTAGCCCGGTGTGTCATATGGCCCAGGATATAAAAGCCAGGTGGTCTGCTTTCCATGGCTTTCAGCTGTGATGTAGATGACACATGCACAAATGAGACTCCAGCATCCCTGAGCCTTGGCAGGACCAGCTCATAATGAATTCCAGGCTTCCACTGACCCTTGCTGCCCATCTGTACCTAATGAATCTGCTTCATGTAACTAATAGATGCAGGTTTTCTGTCTCAGTAGATGCAGGGTTTGGAAACCATCACACATCACTCTTCTTTGCCCCTTCTCAGAGCAGGCAGGCCCTGTCACTCCACATTCTCTTCAGCAACAGACACATGAAGGCGCTTTAAATGCTTACTGAACAGCTCTGTTGAACAATGGAGGAAGGGAGCATAGTTGCTTTTCCGTTGTTCCTGGACATGACCTTGACTGTGCATTTTGTTGTTGTTGTTGTTGTTCCTGGACATGACCTTGACTGTGCATTTTTTTTGGGTTGTTGTTGTTCCTGGACATGACCTTCTGATGGAAACATTCCATAGCCCTCAGCCCCCATGGTTGGTTTCATGTTTTGAGAAGATGTTCACAGTGGAAAAATCATTGCAAACAAGTTAGGTCAAGGAAGTCTTAAGGGGAAAAAATTTTTTTTTCAGCTTGTTGTAAGCTACCATGTGTGTTCTGGGAACTAAATTCAGGTCCTCAGCAAGAGCAGAAAATACTCTGTAGCTAGAGTTTTCCTGCTTTGCCCACAGTCAGGACAAATCTTTGTCACCCGCCAGTCCCACAGCCGCTCAGACTCAACCAAGTAAACACAGAGACTTATATTGCTTACAAACTGTATGGCCGTGGCAGGTTTCTTGCTAACTGTTCTTTTATCTTAAATTAATCCATTTTCATAAATCTATACCTTGCCACGTGGCTGGTGGCTTACCAGCGTCTTCACATGCTGCTTGTCCTGGCGGTGGCTGCAGTGTCTCCCCTCAGCCTTCCGCTTCCCAGAATTCTCCTCTCTCCTTGTCCCACCTACTTCCTGCCTGGCCACTGGCCAATCAGTGTTTTATTTATTGACCAATCAGAGCAATTTGACATACAGACCATCCCACAGCAATACTCTTAACCACTGAGCCATCTCTCCAGCCCTCCATTACCTGTGGTTCTTATGAATGATGATACTACTGGGAACTCAACATCTGGAAATAAGTCTGGTTGCTTTAGCTGGAAAGAAAAGTCTTTTTAAAGAAAGTTGAAGATGTATTCTAAAAAGCTCTGAGAAGAGGTAAGAAAACACATTTATTGAGATAATAGGTCAAGCTTGTCTCAATCTAGCTCATTCATTTATCCCAGCGACACTAAAAAAGATAGTGTCCATTCTACAAATAATTCAAGTGAAGTAACTTTTCAAACTAGCTGTAGAATTAAGTGACAACATGAAAAGGAGAAACCCTACTTTCAGCAGCTCCTGGTGGCCTTCAGCTCAAAAGTGTAAAAAACAGGGGACAATCAACACAGTCATGAAAAAGACAGAAAGAAAGGGAATAAGAGAAGAATCTCAGACTTGAGGTTTATGTGTCCAGGGCAGGAAAATGGATCCGTCTGAATCTGTTTCTTTATCTGTCAAGGGAAGGTAATGGCACCTCCTTCACAAAACTGAAATAATAAAATAGGAGGAAACTGTTTGAAAAATGTAAATGGTAAGTGTTAGATTATATCATGTTCTAATCTAAGTACAGTCAGAGTCATAAGGAGGACTGACAATATGTAGGCATGCATCTCGGGTAAGTAAGACAGTGCCAGGAAGTTGCTGGTATGGCTCCATGCTGATCCCTAGGTTTCCTTATGTGCAAATTACTGCTGTTTTTACACTCAAGCACCTTAGTAACACAGATCCTTAAACATTGTATGTAGCAGGAATCTTAAAACATCTTATTAATTAAATCAAACCTAAGGCCAGTTTTTGGGGTGAATGCTGGAAGATCAGAGAAGCAGAACAAGCCACAGCTACCTCACCTCCAGTTCCTCAGCTAATTCTGTTTCCTCAGACTGGAAGCCTCTGTGTCCTCATCCAAATGGGTCTCAGCTGAACTGCTGCTCCAAAGCCTAAAAGCTTAACCAGCCAAATGCTTCTAGTTTCTGGTCCTCATGCCTTATAATTGTATTTTAACAGAGAGTAGATATCCTTTACATAAAGAATTTCAAAATGTTCACTATATTTCCCAGGATATTGAAAAGTAGGTAAGTGATTGTCTTTACCAATGACATTCTGGACCGTGTCAATTAGGCCGTTCTGGCCTATGTCAATATTATGATATATGTTATTTGTGTGTGTGTGTGTGTGTGTGTGTGTGTGTGTGTGTGTGTATGTGCTCGTGTGCTTGTGCACGCACACACATGCAGAATTAGCAATGTCTAATAGTATAAGGAGTTACACATAATTTCCAAACACCAGTGTTTAAGAAAAATGGGAATTAGATAGAAATCTGGAAGAAGGAGCAAGGAATTGGTGGATTGTGTCTGGAGAAGGTGACTGGGATAAAGACATGGTATTTGTACTCCTTTGCATTCTTCATTAGAAGTTGGAGCCATACCTTAGTGTGTTACTCTTAAGAAACACACTGAAGACAGGGTATGGTGGTTCAGATCTGTCATCCCAGCACATAGGAGGCAGCAGCAGGTGGATCTTTGAGGGCTTCTGTTTGTTTGTTTTTAGTTTTTCCAGATAGGGTTTCTTTGTGTATCATTGACCGTCATGGAACTGGCTCTGTAGACCAGGCTGGCCTTGAACTCACAGAGATCTTTTTGCCTCTGCCTCCTGGGGACTGGGATTAAAGGCGTGCGCCACCGTTCTCACATCACTTCCTTATGGTTACATATGACCATGACCTAGTGGAGACCAGCCAAGATACAGTGAGCTGTATGCATTCTGGGCAAGACTCAGGCTCTCCTAGATCACAAGTTTGAGCTGGTATATGCCAAGCATGCCTTTGTATGTGGGTGAGGGCATGGAGGAAGAAGAGCTTTCTGGAGCTCAAGATAATACGACTGCCCCAGAGAAGGGTTAAAAGGCTGGAAGATAGTGCAGAAGGAGAGGATGCAGGTGAAGGGTATCAGCTCATGTGCTGAAATTTTACACTTCATGTTTGGGAATTTGTTTCCCCTATTTTTAGAGAATTGTCTCTGGTAATCCTAAACTGTCAATAGAGGTAATGTTTTCATTAAAAAAAATAGGGGGGTGGAGAGATGGCTCAGTAGTTAATACTGCTTCCTGTTCTCCCAGAGGTGGTAGTTTGGTTCCCAGAAACCACATTTGCTTGTAACTCGAGCTCCAGGGCAGTTCAGAGGCCTCTTCTGGCCTCTGTAAGCACTCTCGCACATGTGGCATTACGCCTACCCCACATACATATAACTAAAATCAAATATTTTAAAATACACCAAAATTTTAGAGAATTCTCATGTAAACTGTAAGCTTAACATACAAATAAAACTTTTAGCATTGCTTTCATTTCAATTAACTTAAATCATGAAAATACGAAGCTAGTTAATTTTCAATGTATCTTTTCAACAAAGTTTGAGATTGTTGAGCGTGCTTAACTTCTGAATAAAGTATTTTCTTTCTACTATTATTTTGTAAAACTGATTTGTTAGGTGATGTACCTAATTCACCAGAAAGAATTATTTTCTAAGAATAACATTAAGTGCAGGTAGGGGCAGCTGTTTTAATCCCGAGTCCAGAGAGAAATGAAGCGGAAAGCAAATAAAGGAAAGTTAAACAAAAGAGAGGAAGCGATCAGACCCAGGGCGGCCAAGGGTCACTGCTGGATCCCGGACTGTTAATGGTTTCCACAAACATCTGCAGCCATCGAAAAGCGATGAGGGCTTTTTGTATTTGTGTGTTTCGTGTTTTGAGACGGGGTCTTCTTATAGTGCTACACAGGCGGCCTGGGCTTCCAAAGTAGCCGAGATTACAGAAGGTCGCCTCTATACCAGACTGCGGTTAGGACTTGTCATAGGTCGCTAACCACAGATGTGTGTGTGCCTCCTAGCATCATGAGTTTAAAAGGGGATCGCAAGGCCTTTTTGAGTTTCTGAAGTTAAGACATTCGAAATCAATTTAAGGAAGTCTTTTTCTTTCTCTTTCTGGTCCCTTCCAGCCTCAGAGTCCGCCCTACTCCAGCCAGCCAGTCAGGCTCGTAGCCCCCGCCCGCCCGGACCTCACAGGTGCCCGCCGCTCGAGCCCCGCCCCACCGAGGAGCTCCTCCTCCACCTGGCCCTAAGCCCCGCCCTCCGAGCGTCACCGTACGTCAGCGCGTCGTAGCGGAAGCCCGGCAGCGAATGAGCGCGGGCGGCCGCGGCCTTGGCCTCGTTGTCAGCGCGTGCGCGCCGAGTGCGCGAGTCCCCGAAACCCTGGCGGAGCGCAGCGCGAATGGAGGCCTGAGGGCGGCGGGGGCGGGGCGCGCCGCGAGC